ACAGGACAGGCTATGAGAAGGAACCCATTACTCTCAGTTACGCATTATTTCCACGTCTGCATATTTGACAATTATGCATTTTACTAGAATTATAATGAGAGTATAAGACCCGTTTGTAAACCATATTTTCCGCCAAAATAAAAGCTGAATGCTGTTTTCATCAAAATAAAAGATAATGTGTTTATATCTCTTTCAAGTTACAGAAATTAGTTCTAAGCTAATTATGAAAGTAGCTTTTATTTTTCAGTGCATGTGTTTTACAATATATGGCTGTTACTGTCATGTGATTAATATTATAACTATGATTAATTATGTAGTATGTAATGTAGACAGAAACTATATCCCAACTAAAAGAGTTTTGAGGTTGTTTTTTTTTTTTGTTCAATTTGCACACTGAATATGGGTTGGAGCTCTTAATTTTGAACTCTCAAAATGCACCAGGTTGATGAATTTAACATTAAAGGGTAACTAAACTCCTGGTCAGAGCCTGACTCCACCCACTGGCAATATTTGAAAAATGCTGGAAAAGTGGGCAGAGCCCAGCGGAGGGGGGCGTACACCTGAGACGCATCTCTTTGTATGGAACTTGCCTACGTCACCAACAACCGCTGTGTCACGTACCACCGCAAACATCCAATAGGAAAATTCAACTGCAGTAGCCACCGTTCAACTTGAAGAGGGCAGCACTAAGACGTTTTTACACCATATATTGTAGAAATAGAACACTTTATAAACAAATGCCAAAAAAGTTACTCGAATCAATGACTGGTATTAATAAAGATCCATTCTTACAGATCATTAACTAAAAAAAGTTGGTTAAGTGTTTAGTTACTTAAAAAGCACAAAATTTTGCCCCTGAACCCCCCTAGAGGGACAGAAGTGCACTGACCAATACATCTTGTGAGAAAGACTGGTATTGCCAATGCAATTGGAGAATTATATTTTAAACTTAGTAGTTATTTCATCTCACTCATTAGATGGCGTTGGTGGTTTTAATAGGAGTTGTTGGTATACATATTTAAGTGCATACACAGTTTTAGTTGTGTTTATCTTCATATGTAGTGGGCCAGTCTGGGCCAAAATGCCCAGGCGGATTTTTTGTCCCAGTCCAGCCCTGGCGATCAACAGCTGATACTCAGGTGGTGCAACGAAAGAGACAACCGGAACCGCCCGAGGGGGCTCCGGCCGCTCCACCGGAAGCGCCGATGGCAGCGTGCTGCTAGAGGCGTGAGGCGCCCAACAGGATCTTTCACTTGTCGCGTTTCTCACAGTAATCCTCATACGCTCACCAACAGGAATCACCGAAGTAGCCATCTGCTGGACTGAACCAGCAGATGAACTAGATCAGAGATTCTCGGAAAGGACTCCCCCATGTCTCAGGGATCTCAGTCTCGAATGTACCATCACAAGAGTCATATTCCCGCAATGAGAGCATGACTCATCCACAAGCGCCGCCTCAGTGTGTGCTAAGCCCAGACACTTGAAGCAGTGCTTGTGGCCATTTGCCTGAGGGAGAAATCGACCGCATCCAGAAATGCACGGGCGATTCGACATCCTGAAAAGGACGCGAACACACCGTGGAGCTCTTTTAGTAAAATAAAACAGAAAAGAAAACAAAAAAGAAACTGCTCTTCAGTGCCGAAGCGCCGAGGGATATCCACCGCAGACACCGCCGGAAACTGCAACCGCGTGCTGCACTCAAGACGAAGACCACTTGAAGCACCGTCACACCAGCACCCCGAACGTTTCTTCACCAGGCTCGTTTTCTTCAGAACAGCAGGTTAGCCCAGAGAGGCTTCGAAGCAAAAATCGTCTATGGAATGTTTGCTTTTATATTGTGGAATGCAAAGATTGCATGCCAATGGTTATTGGCTCGTTGTTAATTCTGTCAGAGGTAATAAGGCTCCCTAGCGTGATCCAAATTCGTCAGGGAACTCCCCGACGACACGTTGGAGTTCCCAGGACGAAAGGGAACTGAATTTTTTCTCACACAGTGATTTTTATTTTGGGGGGACTATCTACGATACATATTGTTGCATTTTTGTAATGCGATATATTGTGGCATGATATATTGTTACACCCCTGGTGATGGGTCATCTGAAGGTTCCACATATGAAGCGCCTGATGAACGCTTCATGCTTCTCCACAGATCTGCTCTTTATGGCCCGCTCTGCTCTTTAAGCGTTGCCAGAAAAGCTCTCCACACGAGGCTTTTGGCTCACACAGAGCCGTTCTTTGGGATCAGGCCTAGTCTGTTTATCACTGCCACTTGGGGCAAAGTCACACAACTGTGTTGCTCATTAGCACAGGCTAAAGGTTAGAGATACACCTGTCCGACCCGTCGCATGAGAGTCGATCTTCCAGAAGTACAAGCATCAGAAGGCCAGAGGAATCACTGCTTCTCAGATGCTGTGAAGGGCTTTAATGACAGCGATAAAGTGCTCTCTGGGGAATCACTGCACTAAATAGCCATGAATTGGAAGGGAACAGACTGTCAGCGATGGCTAAAACTGGGCCTCTTCGTTCCCTGACTCGCAGTGTTCCTTTGATGGCAGACTAGACCAGAAGAACAGTGAGCGCAGACGCCCGAGTGTACAGTGACAGATGGAAACGGTTCTTTGACAGATCAGGATATGCCTTCAATCAATCAATCAATCAATCAATCAATCAATCAATCAATCAACCAGTCAGTCAATCATTTTGTCAATCAATCAATCAATCAATCAATCAATCAATCGTATTAATCAAATCTAAAAGGATGCAAAAAATATGAATATTCAAATAATACTAATACTAATAATTATAAAGTAATAATTATTAATGATGATTTGTGCATATCCAAAAGCGACAAAAATAAAATAAATTGATCAAATAAAATCCAATTAAAAAATAAAGAATAATTATATTTTTATGAAATTGTATTTAACTAACTAACTAAATAACTAAATAACTAAATAAATGATGAAGTGTTGAAGGACCTGATGTGTTTTTCATTGCTATAGTCAGTGCGAGGATCAGTCAAACACACTGTGGGACAGTTACTGTAAAGATGATCCACAATCAGACTCCCTCTAGTGGACTCTGATCCTTCTCTCCATCAGCCTCTGCCATTACTGAATCCAGCCGTGTGTATGTGTGTGTGTGTGTGTGTGACACTGATCTTGTACATCAGATGAGATGACAAATAAGGAAAAAACAAAAACTACTTTTTTTTTGGTGATTTTTTTTATTCACATTTTAAGCTAAAATTGTTGTCCAGACACATTATTAGCAATAAAACTAGATTTTTCAAACTAATTATACAACTAAAAATATATATTAAATGAGAAAGAAAATAGATCGTTTAAAATTATGCTGATCATATTAAAAGCATTACTAAATTATTTTACTTTTCCTAGTTGTGCGTGTGCATGTGCATGCGTGCATGTGTATGTGTGTGTGTCTTTCTTTGTATGTTAGGTCAGTGGAGTCATTTGACCTTTTTAAATTTATGACAGCAGAAGCTTCACACACAATCATAGATGCGCAGGCATTTCCTGACCGGCACTAGCAGAAATCCATATACAAACACTGCTTCACTTATAGATGAAGACTGAACACATCAACCGGCCTCTGCACAACTCCACTGCACTTGTTCACTGTGAATATTCTAGAAAAAATGCATGCTCTTGTTCAAAAGTTTGAGGTCAGAAGTTTTGTTTTTTGTTTTGTACTAAAATACTTTTGCATTAATTTTCTGACTTTAAAGTCATGTATTATGTAACAAAATATTATATTGAAAATAAATGCCACTGCTTCAACACTTATAATAATCATAAATGTTTCAGATTCTCACATTAGAGTGATTTCTGAAGGGTCATGTGACACTGAAGACTGGAGTAATAATGATGAAAAACACAGGAATAAATTACACTTTATTATATATTCACATACACTCTTAGAAGAAAACGTTCTATATGGAACCTTAAAAGGTTCTATCGGCGCTATTGGTATTTGGAACCCCTAAAAGGGTTCTATACAGATACTTTGTAACCAGGAAAAAGGTTCTGGATTAACCGTTTGGGTTCATTCATTATCATTATCATTTGTTTTGTCCTTTCCAGATTAAATATTTCATATTATTGACAAACATCAAGACCCTAAAATGTATTTATGAATGCATGTGAATGATCACAAAATTCCAGATATGGAGATTAGAAAATGTATATATTTAGATAATTTTATGTAGTTAATCAATATCACACGAAGAGTGCCATTTCAGTTTTTCTCCTCCGAAAATCAACATGATTAAAATGTGATATTAAGTTACTACAACAGTTTAATAAACAATAATTTAATTACAAATACAAAATGTTGCAGAATAATGTAATGAATGAATAATATAGCCTATAAAGAACCTTTGTGCCAAAGGGGTTCTTTCTTGTCATTATAGAACCTTTTCTTAGCATAAAAGGTGGAACCCTATATGCTTCATACTGTATATAGAACCCCAATGAACCTTTTTTCCTAAGAGTGTGGAAAACAGCTATTTTGAATTTGAATAATATTTCAAAATTTTTACTATATTTAAAAATTATCAAATAAATGCAGCCTTGCAAAGAGATATCTTATACCAGCTGTGTCTTTATATAACTGATTGCCTCAATGTATTATATGGTTTTGATCATTCTAAAACGTACAAATATGCTACAGTCGTATTGTTTAGTATCCCGCTCTCATCACACTGTTGCTATGCGGCGAAGGGCAGATGAATACCACAGATCGTGATACATCACAAGAGTAATGGGCCATTGGTCTATAAATAGAGATATGAAAGGTTTGGCATCACTAGTGTCAGTGCATGTAGTTCATGCCACTATTTTTTTTATGTCAAACACACATGCATTACAGTATAGTGTATTCTGTTGGTCTAATGATCAAGAATGCATGGGGTTGAAGCAGAAGCAGGGGTTTCTGGGAGCTCTTTTGTGTCGGGGTCACAAGGCCTTATGAGCACTCACCCAGTTGGCAGTGAAGCGTCGCTGTAATTCCCAGCATTCTCCATTCAAACAAGAGCTGGAATGAAGAAAGCTCTAACACACACCGCTCTGAATCTAGATGAGCCTGGATACACACAAACACATCTCCATCAGAGCTGATCGACTGCTTTATCAAAACAACGTGCAACGAGAACTCGATTTATTAAGATCTGTGGGCTTTATTCAGCTTCGGCATCAGCACAAATATTCATTTAAAACATTTTTTATTGCTTGCCGAATGCATAAGACTGAAGATTAGATTGCTGATAGTCTGGCAAATTGTCATTCGTATCAATCATTAATCACTTAAGTACAGGATGAAGTGCATTTTTAGGCTTTTTAATCGAATGAAGTGACCAATATTGGGTTTCATGCCAGTAATTTTAAAGGAAATCTGAGTCTTGGACCAGGATACTTCAGATTCATGCTTGGAGGAAATAAAGATGATGATAAACTGACTGCAATGGTATTATTCACATTTTCTAATCAACATTTCGCATTAAGAAGTTGGCACTAAAATTACTTGGACTTGTCCTCCGTCTAAAGCCATGGGCTCATTGATGGCAGAGGTTTAGGATCTGCAAAACATTCTCAGCAAAACTGTGGAAAACTGAGAAGAAAATTTCAGTCAAATCATGCAGGTGTGGAAACAAAACAATACGTTATCTCTTTTACTTTTAGTGATCAGGGTTTCAGAACTTATACATTTAAACAATTAAATAGAGATTTAAAGGAGTAGTTCACTTTAAAAACAAAACAAAAAAACTTTAGTTGATAATTTATGTCTTTCTTTCTTCAGTTGAAAAGAAATTAAAGTTTTTGATGAAAACATTCCAGAATTTTTCTCCATATAATGGACTTCAATGGGAACCAAACGATTCAAGGTCCAAAAGACAGTTTCAGTGCAAACAGTTCAAATGGCTTTAAACAATTCCAGATGATGAATAAGGGTCTTATCAAGTGAAAAGATCGCTCATTTAATAAATAAATAACAAATTTTAAGTTTTATAAGCGCAAATGCTCGCCTTGCTCTGTTCTGTGATGCGCGTTCGTGACTCTCCTGTTCAAACTCGTTCATCAAAATGAACAAATCTTTTCCCGAGTCAACTCGTTAATTTTGTTCGTTGAATGAACCAAATTACACGAAAAAATATTTGTTCATTTTGATGAACGAGTTCGAATAAGGAGAGTCACGTTTATATATATATATATATATATATATATATATATATATATATATAATACTCATTAGATTCAGATTACTACTCAAAATGGCTACCAGAAGCCCTTTTATATAATTAAGCTCCTCCTACTTCTGGAACATACCAAGTATAAGTAAATGATCATTTCAAAGTAAGATAAAACTATACAAATACTTCAAACAAATGATATTAATATACCCTAAGCATCACACTAGTAATTCCAAAGTGTTGCCTAAACATAAGAAAAATGCCAGAGTAATGATAGTTTCCCAGATTTCCCCCTGAGATGTCAGCTGACAATGAATGTGCCCCTCCTACTCGGCAAATGAAAATTTTAAAATGGCTGCCATCGCTGCACGTGGGTTGGGGTTTGCCAGTTGAGGAGTGACCCCCCATGTGAGTACTACAGTATTTTATGTGTATATAATAAACTGTTAACTTTTGTAAAAGTTTATTGTGGTTTCTTTGACTGTTAAATTATACAACAAAACAACAGAAAACATGCATTGTGACAAGACAACCAACAAAGACAAGAAAATTACATAAACAAAACTGTAGGACAAAGCAGAGGCTTATTACACCACCTAAACAGAGAAATAATCACAAATCTAATATATATATATATATATATATATATATATATATATATATATATATTCAACGCATTCTCACCCCAAGGCGTCACCTTTGACCATGCTTCAATATTTGACATTTTAGGCGCCCTTTAGGCGATCCTACGGCGTCATCTAACTGACGCTAAAGGAAAGTGTCAGTTAGAGGACGCGGTTAGGTTTAGGTATGGGGTGGGGGTAGGGTACACGCGATCCTAGGGCGTCATCTAACTGACGCTAAAGGGCGCCTAAAGCGTCAGATATTGAAGCATGGTCAAATGCTTCCCAAGGCAGTTAGGTGACGCCTTGGGGGTGAGAATGGGCTAATATATTATGTTATTTTGCCGCATCTAGATTGTGTGTGGGTGTATATTGATGTAAACTGTTAATTGGTGTGCATGCACTTCAGCCGTCCTTTCAAAATAAAAGTCATAGGTCACAGGCTATCTGTGACAAGACCCTTATTCATCGTCTTGTGTCGTTGAACAGTTTGCAATGAAACTGTCTTTTGGACATTGAACCGTTTGGTTCCCATTGAAGTCCATTGTATGGAGAAAAATGCTGGAATGTTTTCATCAAAAACCTTAATTTATTTCGACTGAAGAATGAATGACATGGACATCTTGGATGACATGGGGGTGAGTAAATTCACCTTTGGCTAAGCCCCGCCCCCCTTAGTTACTGTTGCTACATCTGTCAAACTGCATCTGCGCTCTGCATAGCTTATGCTGTAACAGCTCTTCCTGCTGAAATGTTATCAAACTTTTATAAAGCAAAAAATAAAGTGTCTGATAGAAGTAGGCAAAAGGGGCTGCAATATGCGTTCGAAGGCTATAAGACATACAGGTGAAACCCAAGAAACAACAAGGCATCCAAAATAGAGGCAAAAGCATAACGTTACTGATCACAGTCAAAATATGAACCACCGCATTTCCTACTAATCGAGACGGAGGCTGGGACTAACTAGCCTGGCTGCGCCCTCCTACGCACTTCCGCTCAATTTCATTTTTCTTCAGTACTATGTCTGGGACTGCTGTGTATCCTTAGGTTTCCAGAAATCAATTTTTTGTAGGACCAATCAGCGAATAGAGGGAGTGGCTGAGAACGATGACGTTGATGTAGCGCGTCAGTTTGAGTTGAGTAATGGCAGCGGAGAAAGACGTGAGAAAAGTTGTTTGGTCCGTTGTTGGAAAAGAAACTGCCGAATATACAGAATTTAAAGCCGGATTGTTATCGTCTCACCTCTTGTTGCACAACGGAGGACCAAGTGAAGGAGGCAGAAAGGTTGGAAGTTTGTGCTGGGCAGCTCGGTGTGCACGATGACCGTGACATTTTGGACAGACGGTTTAGCCTGGTGTTCGGAAGCCCCGAGTCCTGGCTGCTAAACTATTGTTGAAGATCCGCTCAGGAGTCATGTCAGTAGTTCATATTCCCAACAGTAAATTTACTGATTCTTGTGATGAATAGAACATTTTGAGCCCCTTTGTGTACTCGTGCAGGAGGTTGGTGTATCTGGTTTACATGTTGTAAATCATACAAATTGCTCGTTCTTGACTGCGCTGTGATTGGTCAATCTACATTCTAGGGCGTGGCTTAGCCAAAGGTGAATTATCAGCAATAAGTGTTTTTTTTTTGTTGTTTGTTTTTTTTTTAATGTGAACTACTCCTTTATGCATCCGTTTCTATTTTATTTTGTTCCGTAGCATACTCATTAATTATACATAACTGTTGAAATGTCGTGCCTATTTATATAGTGATTTATACAATAAAGATTGTTCCAAAGCAGTAATAAGCAGAGTTGCAAAATTCTTCAATAAGGACAAAAAAAAACAGCAACAATTCTGACTTCAGAGGACAACATAGCCATTATTCAACTCAATTCAATTGTGTTCTTATATTATCTCATTACTTCTTTCCAAAAATGCATTAGCTTGTGTAGAAATATATATAAATATAGGCCTTTATATAGTACTCAACAGTTGCAAATGATCGCTTACTCATTCTCTAAATCAATAAAACAATAGCATACAATATATTTAAGATTTTCCAAAATGGACTCTGCATTCCCAATGCTCTCTGCGAGTGTTGAAATCTGAAACATAAAAGCGTTCGGCAGAGGCGGCGTCTAAAGGACTGGACAGGAACATGTCCGTCATTTCTCAAAGACATGAATGCTTAGAACTCACATGTGCTGGAGATAACTCTATTCAGCTCAATTTAGAGAAAACAAAAGCCCTGAATGACATCAAGGGTGAGACTGAGTGAGAGAAACCGACTCAAAGAGTGAGAGATAAGATAAATCAAAAATAGGTTTACAGTGTGTGGACGGAGATTACCAGTAAAACATGCACTTTAAAGACTGCATGTGCCAATAAAACCATCCTGGCAAATGTTAATTCTAACATCATGAGTGTCAACTATGAGTGTTACATAGTAGTTTAAAGGTGTTGGATGAGCATCTATTTCTCCTTTTCTTTCCCTCTTTTGGCCCAGGGACGTTTTTACACGCTCTAATTTTGCCCTGCACATGTCAAGGCTGGAATGACGTTGATGATCTGAAACCCCAAATTGTTTTCAAATATTGGTACACATTGATTTTGCCAGGCGTTAGCCGCTTTTCCTGTGATTCCTGATTGGACCCCTGGGAGCCGAACCTATTCACTATATCAAATATAATTGCATTCACAGCGAATGAGGTGTGATCGAGTCCCGCCTTCTAGCGAAAATTCAATAACCGAGTTGTTGCAATTAATGGGCGACTGTGTTAACAAAACCGGAGTCTGACAAGCGCTGTGCAAATCCAGGAAATGATACATCCTCATTTATTTGTAATTATGCCATATTGCTCCCAGATGCAGTGCATTATGGGCAATCCATCAGGGGTTCACCAATTGAGCTGGGGTTTGTTGTCCAGTGCTGACTCGTTCACCTTCGGTCACTCTGTGTTTACTTTGGCCTCGACGAGCGCACAACTGTCTGTGTGACATCACTAATGTGGGACAAATCCTGCGCGGCTGCTATGAGTGTCAGCGGATGTGTCTCTGCAATATCTATGAGGAGAAGGCAATCTCACTCTCTTGAAAATATAAACTCCGCTTTCAACAAAAGGTCACACTGTTAACTCCTTAAACAACATTGACAACATTTTCCGTCATTTTTGACACTCTCCCCGCCCGCCATTGGCAAGTGTTGTCCATGTTTCCACTGTTAAACGGTAGGGGGCGCTGTTGCACATCTTCTGAAATTGTTTTTGGAAGCGTTGTGTCATAACAACGCATTCTCATCCTTTAGCATCATATAGGTGACGCTATATGACAAAACTGCAAAATACTATGCACATGGCACCCGTTATCGTTAATATAACGCGCGCTGTGATGGGTAGGTTTAGGTGTGGGGTAGGGTAGGATAGTCTAATATTCACGGTAAAGGATTTATGACGCCTTGGGTTCGCGCGTTATATTAACGATAAAGGGTGCCATGTGTTAGGGTTGTGCCGATAGACGATAGTATCGTGTATCGACGATAGTCTGACATATCGCCGATGGCAGATGCCTTTGACGATATCAATACGATAATTGCTTCGTTTTACCATAATGTATTAAATTATTATTATTAGGCCTATTATTATTATTATAAAGCTAGTATTGTTATTAAATGAATATTAGGAACTACAATTAATTTGCCTTGCCTAAATTTACAACGACATCACCTCATAACAATTGCAACAACACACGCACTAATGAGGACTCCTCTAAGAGAATGTTTTTAAAACAGACTAAAAAACATCCCACATCAAAATTCAATCGCAAGGTGATCCATTCACAAATTATCAAGTGTGCTCGTTTTAACAGACGCAAAATTCAATTTCCTACAGATCCAAGATGAAAACGGCATCGTTGTTCGTCATTTGTTTCTGTAACACATTAACAAAACGTTTAATGACACTAACACTAAAAACAATACAATTACTAAATAGTATTAATAATAATATCACTAAAATAGTATTATAGTTACCGTTATCATCGTCGTCTCTGAGGGAACGCGGCGTTAATGCAGATGGCGAAAGCAGTCCGTTTTTACTTTCACTTTCAGAGATAGAGCGCGTTTACATGCGACGACGTTCTTAACCTGATTATGTTGAATAAACTTGACAATGGGTGTAATGTAAACGTTTCCTTTATCAGAGTCAAGTCATAAGTATAAGTATAAAGCGATCGACTCAGCTAGACGTTTGGCCCTTGCTCTTGTTTCTATCTGCATTTAAAACACATTAACCCGCGTACTTCGTGCTTACTGAAGTGCGCATGTGAAGTGCGCAGAGAGCGCACTGGTAGGGGGGCACATATCGCAAACTCCGACTCTTTCTGACCCAAGAAATTATTAAAACGTGTTTTCATCTCGTGCAGAAATAGACCAAAATGCTGCATGTAATGGCATGAGAATAGGCTAATGTCTCCGTAAATTTCCCGTTGACAAACAAAAGGATTTTTTTTTACTTCACTATACCAGGAAATAACCTGATCCTATTAATAAACACTCCACCTTTGCTAGCAAAATAGAAAAAAAGATTCTCGTATATAAAACGAAGTAGGCTAATAAAACAAGCAAATTAATGAGTAGGCTAAATAATCAAGTTAAAAATCAAATAAGTTAGCCCCGCCCCCTCACGATACTATCGTGTATCGCCGATCTCACAGGCTGACGATAGGACGATATGAAAATGGAGCATATCGCCCAACACTACCATGTGTGCGTAGTATTTCGCCGCTTTGTCATATAGCATCACCTATATGACGCTAAAGGATGAGAACGGGCTGGTCATAAATGCTGGAAAATCTGGCGGGGAAATAGTTAAAATACAAATCAAATTTAATTTTAACTTTCCTGATAATAGAGTGCCGAAGTTACGACTTTATTCGGTAGGCCAAAATGCAAAAGTGAGTTAGTATTTTAGCACTCCCGTTCCAGTTCCCTCGCTCTAAAGTCTATGGGATTTTTGAATGGGTTTTTGCTAAATCGCCTGAAATAAGGTCTGTGGTGAACAAAGCCTCTAAATATTTTCACGTTTTGATCTATGACATAAAACACACAGTTATATCGTGCTTGTGGTTTTTTAAACTTAATTGTGTCTGCTTGTGTTTTTTGAAAACTGTATGTATAAATTATAACACAGATCTTTTTTTTTTTTGGCGATTTTCCAAAAGTCTATACTAAAACTTTATAAAAGTTTTTTGTGCAGTTTCAGTGCAGCCTTAAAGTCTCGACACGATCCAGCCGAGGAATAAGACTCTTAACTCAACAAACCAGCTGCCATTTCATAAAATAAATAAACGTTTATACACCTTTTAACCACAAATGCTGGTCTTGCACTAGCTGTGATGCGACACACATTATGTAATCAGGTGAAAGGTCACGTGTGTCCTGGTTTAGAAATGTAGGGCAAAAAAACTCCCTCTCATTTTCTCGTCCAACTTCAAAATTGTCCGATACTGTAGTTTTACCTTTTATTTTTTAATTTATTTAGTAAATGGTGTTTGACTTAAGCCAGGTGCACACTGTGCAGTCTGAGAAAAATTAAGCAAATCCTGAAAGTTTCCTCTGATCCCAGGCTAAAAAAGTCTTTCATCGTTAGTTTGACATGTTCATTAATGACCGTTGTGATCAAATTTGACCTCCGATGAAATTCTGGCAGTGACAAATTGTCTTAGTTTTTTAAGACAAGCCATGACCAAAATTAACGTTAGACATTTCTTTGTAGCCATCATTTCAATCCCGCGTGTAACCCTGCTCACATCACCGAACGCGCCATTGATTGATGATGTAAAAACATTTTTAATGTGTCTTCACTGTCTGACATCAATGACATCTGAGATCTTACAGTGTGATATGGCTTACAGCGTTGATCATGTTCGTACAGACTGACAAGCAACAATCATAAAGGACTATTATAAATCACACAGTGTGCACTGGCTTTAGTTTTCGCATTTGCTTTGTAAACGCTGGGTCGCTTCTTACACCTATACGTCCCGCTTGACCTTTCAACCTGATTACGTAATGTGTACAAATAAAAGTTTGTTGTTTGTATGTAAAAGAATTAAAAGTATATAAAAGAATGTTTTGTCTAGATCAGACTCTTATTCTTCGGCTGGATGGTGGCGAGACTTTGAAGCTTCATTCTGAAGTGAACTAATCCCTTAAAGCAATTCTCAGATATGCCAATCAACATTGAGAGCATCTTCAGGGACTTTCCTTCCCGAACCCGGCGACAGCGAGCGCTCTTTCGTCTCCAACCGGCGCTGATCGCATCTGCCAAGAATCTGTATTTTCATTCCAGCTGTGAATGGAGGCTTTGTGTGGTTTGAGGGAAACCTGCTCTCTGGGAAGTGTCAGAAGGGTAGTACTTACATTGTTATCTGAAGATAGAGGCCAGAAATGGTTTCCAGACTCCTGCAGAAACACTGGACTGATCCACCGGCACGTGCAGCGCTCGAGACATTTATATATCCATAAAGACTTTCCAATTGTTTGGCACTATTTCCAACTTCAGGCTTGTCATTTCTCGGATGGAAATGAAACTTAAATTGGCATGTTGGCGTCAGCCAAGTTCGTCCTATTAACAGTTTGTTTGAATCTAACCTGGTTCAGAATGTCACTCTAATAGACTGAGTTCAGATTGCCAGCATGTGTTGGCGGCCCTGGCACATGTTCAGTTCTTTTAACCTTTACCTTTGGAGCACAATTGCTCTCAGAGCACTTAGTTGAGCAAGCAAATACTTTCCCTGGAGTTTGGGACAAATGCAGCTGAGATCAGCAATGATAGCAAGCTGTTTCTGACACATGCATTAGACATAATACGTGTTTTTCGTTGAAAACACCTCAGGAAAAAATCATAATGTTTGTATATGACATCAATGAATGCTAGCATTGGGGTCAGTACTTGTAAGAAAATAATGATGTTATAAAGCAAGAACGCATTAAACTGATCGAAAGTGACAGTAAAGACTTTTATTGGTGAGCAGGAGAGACTTAAAGGATTAGTTCTTGAGAATTTAAATTTCCTGATAATTTCCTCTCCCCAACACCATCCAAGATGTTTCTTTCTTTCTTCAGTCGAAAACACATTAAAGGGTTAGTTCACCCAAAAATGAAAATTAAATCATTAATTACTCACCCCCATGCTGTACCAACCCCGTAAGACCTTCGTTCATCTTCGGAACACAAATGAAGATATTTTTGATTAAATTTGAGAGCTGGATCACTCCTCCATAAACTTCCTAAGGGACTAGCATTTGACGGCCCATAAAGTCATTAAAGAAAATGTTTAAATATTTAATGTGCCTACAGCGGCTCAATTATAAGTTTATCAAGCGACGAGGATATTTTTTTGCGAAAAAAACATAAATAACGACTTTATTTGACTATTCCATTACTTCCTTATGGGCCTTGAGACGAGAATTGAAGAGATTTCCAGAACGCATGCGCAAGAACTGAGATGAGGACATTCTTCTTCGACTACTTCTTGTTACCGGCTGCTCACCGCTTAGGAGTATGACCGCCACCTACCGTATAAAATGATGATCCATATATAAGGCGCTCCGGATTATAAGGAACACTGTCGTTTTTTGAGAAGATTAAAGGCTTTTAAGTGTGCCTTATAGTGCGGAAAATACGGTAATTGAAAAGCGTATGTACAGCGCGCCTCTTCCTCTGCTTGTAAACAGAAAGTTTTGCGCTTCCAGCTATATCAGCACGTCATCTTATACGGTAGGGGGCGGTAATACTATAGCGGTGAGCAGCCGGTAACAAGAAGTAGTCGAAGAAGAACGTCCTCAGCTCAGTTCTCGCGCATGCGTTCTGGAAATCTCTTCAATTCTCGTCTCAAGGCCCATGAGGAAGTAATGGAATAGTCGAATAAAGTCGTTATTTATGGGGGGGGGGGGGTTGGGGGGTTCGCATAAAAAGTATTCTCGTCGCTTGATAAACTTATAATTGAGCCGCTGTAGGCACATGGAATATTTAAACATTTTCTTTAATGACTTTATGGGCCGTCAAGTGCTAGTCCCTTAGGAAGTCTATGGAGGAGTGATCCAGCTCTCAAATTTAATCAAAAATATCTTCATTTGTGTTCCGAAGATGAACGAAGGTCTTACGGGGTTGGTACAGCATGGGGGGGGAGTATATTAATGACTTAATTTTCATATTTGGGTGAACTAACCCTTTAAGGTTTTTGAGGAACACATTCCAGGATGTTTCTCCATATAGTGACTTCAATGGGGTCCAATGGGTCGAAGGTCCAGATGTGAGTTTCAGTGGTCACGCGTGACGCAGGCGGAAGTACCGACCCAGTGTTTACAAAGTGAATGAGCAAAAATAAATGAATAAATAAAAGGTAAAACAATGATATTGGATGATTTTGGAGGAGAAAATTAGATACTCAACATTTCTGAAACAAAACACACTTGACCTTATAACCTGATTGCGTAATGTGTTTCCCATCACAGCTTGTGCAAGACCAGCTTTTGTGGTTTAAAAGTATATAAATGTTTATTTTGTTACAAATGTAAGCTGATTTGTCTAGATCAGACTCTTATTCCTCGACTGGATCGTGTTGAGACTTTGAAGCTGCATTGCAACTCACATCTGGACCTTCAACCCGTCGGACCCCATTGAAGTCACTATATGGAGAATAATCCTGGAGTGTGTTCCTCAAAAACCTTAATTTCTTTTCGACTGAAGAAAGACAGACATGAACATCTTGGACGACGTGGGGAGAGTATATTATCAGCAATTATTTATTCAGAAGTGAACTTCAAAAAATCATTCGACCTCTAACTCTTGAAAGGTAGTGAGTATGAAAACGTTGGTTTGAGAGAAACTAAGCAGTCTGAGCAGCAGGAAACTAGTGTTAGGCTTACGTGTAAACTGTGCCGGAGTGTTTTTCTTACGTTTGGTTTGGTTTTCCTTTCAGGTGTAAAATTCTAATCCCTTTAAAACAAATCGACTATAGGCCTAGACTCTCAGAGTGGCAGTAGCTAAAAGAAATAAACAGTTGTGTATAACTTTTCACAAACAAAAGTGAAAATGACGTCTATGAAGGGTCCCTAAAGACAATGGAGACGCACTTCTTCAAAACATTCAAAGACATGTTTCATCATGAAAGACGTCTTTCATCAGGGTCCAACAAGCAACCTTCCAAAGTGCATTTCTAGCCGAACAAGCTGTTCTTCAATCCTGTGGCCATCAGTAGAGATCCCCAACATCTCTGTACGAATCTAAAGTCACAGATGTTGTGAAACAATATGACTGAATTTTCCTCGTCATGGTCGTTTTCTTGAGATTTGAAGAGTACATATTAAGTTTAACAATGCAGTCCGTCTACAAGTCGGATTAAAATTAAAATTATAATTAAATTAAAATTATTTTAAAAATGAACATGCAAACCAATAAATAACCCCATAACGCAAGTAAACCGCATTTACAAGACTTTATTAATAAATCAGGTACTTTCCCAGTAGTGACATCAAAACTTAATAATTAGCCTAGGCCTATCCGAGTATTTCATTTGTAATGTCGGTTGTTATGTTAAATAAATCGTGATTATTAAAAACCGAAGAGGAGCATTGCAGCATGTCAAAATAAGGCCGTGTGTCCAACAAAAAAGTGTTATTCCATGCGCCTGGCGTACGTTTTCAATTGTTTTCAATGGGAGCACCGCATTTTTTTTAGATGCCATGAGCGTAACAACCATATTTTTCACGCTGAAGTGCCGAGAGTTCAAAAATGTTCAACTTTGGATAAAATGCAATGCTCATCAATGTCACTTTTTACCCAGCTGTCCAATCATAGTAGAGGAGGGGCGGGACTAAACCACACTGACCAACTGTCACAACATTCTTTCTGTACAACGACATCAACCAGCAGATCTAACCCAACAACATGGATGAAAAATATTATTTTAGTGTGAAACAAATTATCTGCGAAATCAGTTACAAGTAAACTGGGCAGCGGATATTCTGTATCATAGCAACGAAACGTCTTTAGCCAGCTGAAAACACCAGACGCTTTGCTGAAGACGCCGTGCTATGGGCGCTTGAGAGCATTTTGGAAGTGCAGCGCTTTTTTTCCGTTGAGACATTTCGTTTTATGATACAGAATATCCGCAGCACAGCTTACTTGAAGCTGATTTTGCAGATAATTTGTTTCATACTAAAAGAAAAATTTTCATCCATGTTGTTCGGTTAGCTCTGTTGGTTGATGTCGTTGTACAGAAAGACTGTTGTGACAGTTGGTCAGTGTGGTTTAGTCCCACCCCTCCTCCACTGTGATTGGACTGTGGGTAAACATACGCCAGGCACGTGGAAAAATGCTTTGGTGTCCACCAAAATGTCTTTAGCCAGCTGAGAACGCCAGACGCTCTGCTGAAGACGCCGTGCTTTGAGCGCTTGAGAGCGTTTTTTTTTTTCCGTTGAGATGTTTTGTTGCTATGAAACAGAATATCCACACAGTTTACTTGTAACTGATTTCGCAGATCCTCCGTGTGTTTGTGTTGTGAGATCATGTTTCATACTAAAAAAATATATTTTTTAATCGATGTTGTTCGGTCAGTGTGGTTTAGTCCTGCCCCTCCTCCACTGAGATTGGACGGCTGGGTAAAAAGGGACAGTCATAAGCACTGCATTTTATCCAACGTTGAACATTTTTCAACTCTCGGCGACCTGTAAAAAACGCCGGTGCTTCAGTGTGAAAAAAAACGCTCAGCACCTCGTTACGCTCATGGCGTTAAAAAAACGAGGCGCTCCAACTGAAAACATTGTTTATGAAAAACGCTTTGGCTTAACGGCTCATATATTCTCCACTCGTACAGATGTTACAGAGTTTTGGCTGAACCAGTTCTGCACAAGATGAGAGCACTTTATCATTGTGTGAAATATGTCCTCTTTTTCCTTACTGCAAAACACTCGCTCCGTCTGGATGCGCTTAGATCCACAGTAAAGACGTGCACTTTCATAAGCCGTAATAAGAAATCTTGAAAATCTGGTGCTAAATGGTTATTTAGATAACTAGTAGTAAAGAGGAAGAGATGACCGGTTCATCGCTACAGTGATCTGTCACAAGACATCAAATAGCTAAAAATCTATTTATTGGTTGAATTCCAAGAACATTTATTTATTTGTTTGTTTATTACAGGGACAGTGCATTTCAATAAACATTTCTGTCAATATGCCAGAATTAACCAAAAGGCTATTTTTGATCTGCAGTCCCTAGACGGATGGTACAAAGTCAATTACATGACAATTTAAAAATTACAATACAGTTATTACAATACTATTATGTTAAAATGTATAATCAAAACACAGCAAACCAACAATCAAACAAACATCAGACAAAAACATGACACACACAAGGCCAGACGCCAGCTGATGTGTGGCATAAGAGCGCATGACTTGTCAGACGTAGCAACAGTAATAAAGGGGGGCGGGGGGGTCTTTGCGAGGGTCAATTGAAGAGAATTGTGTGTTGCAGAAGTGTCAGGTCTGATCCCGACACCAGACACCACAGGTCTGAGTTAGAGCGGAGAATGCAAAACAATCCATCTAGACTTACAGTG